AGAGCAGACAAACATGCACAACCACTCGAGCGAGTGGCATTCCATTGGCACGGCCGACGCGATCGGGAAGCCGAGAGGGCAGAACAGACCACACCTCCTCGTCTGCCCACCACCCCAAACGCGAACCGACCGGAGAAACACACGGCCCAGCTGACAATGTGACGGTACAGTGAGGCCAACGAGGCCAAGCGGCACCGAGTGAAAGTGTGATTGTGCGCTGTACACGCAGACAGCCACACGTGCATGCATCAGCAGTACAAGCGGACAATTGTGCAAAGCTGCCAAATCTAATCAAAAGCACAATCTCGGTAACTAGGGCCGCTAACTTTGCCCAAGACTGCCAACAGAGACACAAACAAACACACCCTTGCTCCCACAAGCACCTGAATTGTGCAAACTTCGCCTGATTGTGTGTGTCTGTGTGTGTGTGTGTGCACAATTAATTGTGGAATGCGTATTTTGTACATTTATCAACGTGAACATTCCGACCGGCAAGCGGACAACTGTGAGCATGTGCGTTTGTGTGCCAGACAGTGTTTCAAGGTGGATCGGGTGGAGAAAAGTGAATTTGTTTACATGCCTCGAGGTGTGTGTGCTTGAGGGCAACAGTGACCGTCGCCGGGTTGGTAGGCCGGCGGCCGGAGTCGGGTCGGACGGGCCGCGGGCAAGCGGCGCAGATCACGCCGCCGTCCGGGCCAAAGTGATCTGGATTAAAGGCCGGCCGAGACAAGTGGGTGGTGGTGGTGGTGGTGGTGGTGGTGGTGGAGCCAGGAGTAGATGGTCTCTCTTCTGCCCGATCAGGGCGGGACGCCGAGGCAACACATGATTGACCCAGAAAGGCATGCTTCGGCAGAAGCGAAGCAGCCTCCGCTCTTTCGCCGATGGCCAGTTGCCGTGGCCTGGCTCGGGTCAGGCGAGGAGACGTGCGCGCCCACATTGCAGATGCCGGTGTTGCCAGGTCAACAGACAAGCCGGACAACACATGTACTCGCGTGTTGTGTACCGACGAGGCCGGTGGAAATGCTGTCGGTGCTGGACGGGGAGGAGAGAGGATGGTTGGATGGTGGACTTGATTGGGAATCGGCAATTGCCGAGCTCCGCGATGAGTCGAGAATCGGCGTAACCAAGGCCGCGGAGGCCGAAACGCGCCTCGTTTGACACAGACTCGTTGGTTTGGAGCACCGGCAGGCGTGGCCAATTCTTTGCAAATGAGTATATTTGGAGAAAAAATGGCCGTTTCTCGCGAAAGAACCGGTTCAAACCAAGTCGCCGAGGGCTGGGAATTATGGTAGATACTATCGCAGAAGAATTCAGAAAAGTCCAGCCAAGTCGCCCTGGCAACAAGACCGAGTTGCGAAGAGGAGGTCAACCCACTTTTATGCCACGCCATGTTACTTATTTGCGATATCAGTAGTTTTGCAGACTAGCAGTACATATTGGACGATAAAGTGATATGAAGACTGATGGCCGAGTTTTGCTGCCGACCCAATTGTATTGGATGAAGTCGCTTATTTGAGATTTAAGTAGCTTAAAAAAGAGTATATGCAATTGTTGTATACAAACTTGATCAGTC